GGCCTACAAGTGAAGCAGCCCTGCTCAGCCTTACCAACACCCAGCCCTGACTCACATGCTTACTAGAGGGACCTATTGCCCACTGGGGGAGTTCTTCAAGTTTCCCCACCAGGCCCCACTACCAAACCCAGATCTCACGCATGCCAGCCAGTGTTACTGGGCATTCTGTGCCAACCTAGGGCCATGTCTGCCTACCAAGGGCCCATGCATTCTCACACTCAGATTCCCAGACCCTGTGTACTGGCATACTGGCGTCTACCCTTGTTCCCCTTTCCCCACATATCTTTGAAAAAAAAAAAAACAAAATAGGCGATTATGCTGGCACACTGATAGAGTTATTACAAATTTGGCATTAACCAGGCCCAGAATGCCTACTAGTTTAGCAGTTCTTTTTTTCTCTCCCTAGTGTGACACTCGCTTAGGTACAATGCAATCTAAGCCATTGCCTACAGCCTAGGTTATATATTTTTAACCCATTTTCAATTGGTTTTTGTATATGGTATGAAATGAAGGTCAAATTTTGGTTTTCTGCCTGTGGACATGGGAATATCCAATAATTCTAGCAGCATATATTAAAGAAACTGTCCAAAGGAACTTTCTAATAGAACTGTCCAAAGAGACGCCAGAGTTACGACACTTCCAGAAGTTCTGCTGAGGCCTACATCACATGAGCCTTTAGGGTAGGGATTCTGTGTGGGTGAAACATGATTGAGAGTTCATTGCTGTACTCTTAACAGCATGGTGGAGCCTGATTACTCACCTTTGAATTTGGGTTAGTCTAGGGTTTTTCTTGATGATAAAAGAAGTGATGTCCTGGGACTTCTGAGACTAGTTTTACAGCTTTCTTAAGACACTCACTCTGGAGGATGTCAACACTTATTTAGGTCAACATTAAGGTAGAAATTCTGACCACTCTGAAACTGCCATTTAGTGAGGAAGCCCAAACTAGGACCTCTCCCCAACCCAACACACACACACATGCCTAGTCAACCCCAGATATCCCAGCCACACTAGCCTAGGTGCCAGTCATATGAATTAAAGATTGATGTGACGTGAGGAAGAACTAAAAGTCTTAGTCAAGAGTCACTACCAAGAGCACAGACATCTAATCTGGACTGAGCAATTATCAGCCATCTCCAGCAATGCAGCCATTAAGGGGCAGATGCAGGGTCCCCTTGCTACGCCTTGGTGTGGACTTATGAACTTCAGGAAGTGGCTGTTGTCTTATGCCGGTGTGGCTTGTGGTGGCTTGTGAGCAACAGATCACTGGTGAAGACACTGAAGAGAGCATGTGTATTACTCAGTGAGTTTCCACAGCACTTACAAGGGCTTGCCAAATAACCTGTGGAAAATGGAATTAAAAGAGAAGTTCATTTTGTTACAAAAAAATTTTATGCACATGCATAGTTTTAAATAACACACATTTTGCATGAGCTTTTTGAGGTCTCTCCTGTTTTTCTCTCTTGTCCATGGATTGATAGGAATGCTTTTTTTGAGGCTATGAGGCCATAAGGTGTGATCAAGGCTGCAAGCTGCTCTCAGATACACCTGTATGTCTTCTTTTGGTACAAGGCTGAAGGCACAGCAACCACCAAAGGCAGGAGGGATTGTACATATAAGGAAGTTCAAGTGCAGCTCTGCAAAGACAGTTCAATGGCTCTGCTTGCAACACACCTACTTTGTCTGTTAATTTAGAGTCACCTGACCACGCTCCAAGTACATGGAGTTAGTAAGCAAATGTCTATCCAAGTAGGAGGAAGAATGAAGGAAACACTTGGTGAATGATATGCCAACCAATCACAAGACTGAAGCAGCTGATGAAGGTGTGACTACAGTGAGTGATGCCACACTAGATAACTTTTTAAGATTCATTTATTTTTACTGGAAAGTTGGATTGTACAGAGAGGAAGAGAGATAGAGAGGAAGATCTTCTGTCTGATGATTCACTCCCCAAGTGGCTGCAATGGCTGGACTGAAGAGATTCGGAGCCAGAAGCTTCTTCCAGGTCTCTAATGTAGGTACAGGGTCCCAAGGCCTTGGGTTAGAATTTACTGCTTTCCCAGGCCACAAGCAGAAAGCTGGATGGGAAGTGAAACAGCCGGGACATTGAACTGGCACTCACATGGGATCCTGCCATGTGCAAGGCAAGGACTTGAGCCACTAGATTATTGCACTAGGCCCCAGACTAGATCATTTTAAATGTATTTCTGTGATTTGGTACTCATCCATTTAGAACATTTATGTCATATGGGGAGGAGGGAAGAACCCTAGAAACTTGGAAACAAGAAACATATAAATTATGAAAAGACAAAAAAGAAAGAAAAAATAACAGAATGGTAAAAGGAAAGTAATGAAAAAAATAAAGAGGGGAAAAGGCATAAAGTGAGACTCTTATAAAGGGTGTGATAACATTACAACTATCCCAGTATGCCTGTTTCTTGATTTACCACCCAGCAGCCACAAGACAGCCAGTTCCTGAAAGAGGCCCCAAGAGACCAGCTCCTTCGCAGGAAAAGACTAATTCAATGACAGGTGCACTGGGTACAGAAGAGAACATTCCCAACCACTGCTTTCCCATACAGTACCACACTTACACCTAATCCAAATGCCAGCCATTCAGGGAGTTCCCTGCTCACAGCAGAGGGTTAACTATTAACACAGCTCTGGGCACACAGGAACAGTCCAAAAGGTATGGGAGAAGATCAGCAATGCAGCAAGTAATTCAGAAAGGCAATGGTGTGGGAGGACAGGTTTGCTGCAACTGGGTGGAGAGGCCAAAAATAAAAATCAGTGGGAGCAGCACAGTTCTCTTTTAGTTTCACGCCTGGGGGACAGGGGGTACTAACCTGAGAAGATGTGAAGCCAGATCACTGTGGGCCTTGATAGCTGGGATGAGGAACATGCCCTTAAGTCAAACAGAGCTCCGGAACAAGAAGTGACACAGAGTTGGTACTGTTGGATAGCATTCTTCTACACTTTTTTTAGTAACAAACCCTCATTTTTAACTGGGTGCCTCCTGTGCAGAATAAAGATTCCATGTCTAATATCTCTAGCATCCAGGTGTGGCCATTGCATTGAATTCTCTTTAATGAATCAAAAGCAAAATAACTGTGCTCCAGTTTTAGGTAGATTCTTTAAGGCGGAGGGCATACCCACCTTTCTCTATTCTTGCTGGGTGCAAGCTGCATGTAGTCCTGACATGTACATTACTCATTTGGAAGGTTAACCCAGGGCCAGGGAGAATACTGGATTCCTGGAACAAAGGGAGCTTTGGAGCTGGAAAGACTAATTAGGAGAACATTTTGATAGCCTGGATAAGAAGTGAGGAAATGAAAACTGGGCCAGGATGGCAGCAGGGGGAATGGAGGGCAGGAATGAAGGTAACAAACATTGCGAAAGCCCATCAGGTTAGAGAAAGCACCAGAGAAGCAAGAATCAAAGGTCACTTTCAACTTCACATGGATGTGGCCAGGCCATGACCATTGTTGCTAATGTCAACAGGGAAAGCATGAGCAGGCCTGGGGAGGCCACAAGGAGCCTGAACCTGTTGAATAGAGAAGACTAGGTGTTACCCAGGTGGAGATGTAAAGCAGGCAGCTGGACAGTACTTTCTGTAGCGTAACTGGCTCATCTTTTGCATGACAGTGGTTGTCAAAACACAGCGAAGGGCTGACTGGCAAACCCGAGGCTGCATCTGTAGAAATCTACCCTTTCTCCAGTGCACACTGAGAAACACAGTGTTCTGGAAAAATCACATGGAAACACCAAGAGCTCACCTGTCACATCCTTTCCACCATCCTCCACAAAACCCCACTGTAAGCTCCAGCCAATAAGTGGCAGGATTCAGGTACTGAAACCCTCCCCCGCCCAAAATTTGGACAGCTCCTCAAAGTTCCTAAGACTTGGACAAGGATCTGCCATGACAAGTTTGGAGAGAGTTCTTTATCAACAAGAAATACCCAGGAGGCAGCCCTAGTGCTCCATTCAGGTTAGCCAGCACACAAAAGTTCTAATCCACAACACTCCTAAACAAAAGATTCTCTAGAGCAGAGTGAGAAAACTGAACAATAGAAATTATCTGACACGACAAGGCAATTCTAGAGAAGCCTTGTACGTGACCACTGAGAGGAAGTTAAGCTGACACAAAAATAGCACTAGCACATGAACCAGGGGTTGGGCAAACTGTGTCAGGACTGCATCGCGGGTGGCAGGTGTTAAAATCCAGGTGCTGGCATGTTTGGGCAGCAGCCAGGCAGCTCCAGGAGGCAGAAAAGCAACCCAGTGTTGGGCTGAGAGCTGCTGCTTCTAAAACACTTTCGTGTCTTCCACCACACACCCGGGCATTCCCAAACCACACGCCTAGGAGTGCCATGGTACACGCAGTGGCAACCTGAGAGCTGCATCTGGAGTCACTTGTGGGTAAAGCCAGAACCCTTAATGAGAGGGTAAGGCTCCCCAGTCAGCCATCAGCCAGTCCGTGTGACCACCTTCCCGTGCCCGCTGTCCTTTGTTCCAAGGCCCATGCCTGTGCTGCCTACAATGCATGCTTTGCCCCCGACAGATCCTCTGAAGGCAAGGATTCCAGGCAGCTGAAGGGTGCCCAGAAGAGTCCAGGAAATAGCGCTCCTGGGACTCTGCGGGGGCACCCTCAGCTCGCTCCATCCCCTTTCACCCACAAGGTGACTCTGCACTTTCTTCGGGCCCTCCACTCCTAGCGCCCAGATCTAGCCAAGAGTCACCGGGGAGCGTTTACGACTCAAATCCACCCTCCGGTAAGCAGTCGGGGGCTCGATGGTTGGAGTATCAGTCGGCGCCACCGGCTTCCAGGAGCTGGCCCCCGCCGGCCACCCCTCCCGCACGGGCAACGGCCGGACTCATTGGCCGGCTGGGAAGGAGGCGGGGCGGAATGGCCACGCCCTGCGCCCGCCCTCGCCCGCGGTGTGCGTCCCAGCTCGCGCCTCCCGTGTTGCATCATCTCCAGCTCGCCGCTGCCCTGGGAAGGCTGGGCGCGGCGCGACCCGCTCTTCCCGGAGCAACTGCCTCTGTTGTACCCACCTTCGCCTTTGCGCACCTTCTGGCCGCTCCAGCCCAGAGACTATCCCGGGAGCCGGATCCCAGAACCTGCGGGACACAGCCGGCGAACCTCGCCAAGTTCCGCCCGATCCATTCATTGAGAACCGCGTCTTTTCCCAGGGCCCTTTCCCCGCCACCTCCGACTTGGACACCCGACAGTGCCATGGAGAAGGGCAGCGAAACCAACGGCTACCTCGACAGCGCCCAGGCGGGGCCTGCGGCAGAGTCCGCGGCGGGGTCTGCCGCGCAGGAAACGGTGGTGGAGCGCGTGGGGAACCGAGTCGGCTTTCTGCGGCGCCACGCACTGGTGCTGCTCACCGTGTCTGGGGTGCTGGCGGGCGCTGGCCTGGGCGCTGTGCTGCGCAAGCTACAGCTGACTCGCACGCAGATCACCTACCTGGCCTTCCCTGGTGAGATGCTGCTTCGCATGCTCCGCATGATCATCCTGCCGTTGGTGGTCTGCAGCTTGGTGTCCGGTGCCGCCTCGCTTGACGCCAGTTCGCTCGGGCGTCTGGGCGGCATCGCCATAGCCTACTTCGGCCTCACCACACTGGGTGCTTCGGCACTGGCCGTCGCCTTGGCATTCATCATCAAACCCGGGTCTGGCGCGCAATCTCTTCTGAACAGTGACTTGGGCCTGGAGGAGTCGGGGCCTCCCCCAGTCCCTAAAGAAACGGTGGACTCTTTCCTTGACCTGATCAGGTAATGCTCTCCCCCTCGTGCAGGGTGCAGGGTGCAGTGGGAGTGAGGCGCCAACTCCCTAATGCACTCCAGTTCCCAGACAGGTACACTCCGCTACTCCTTTGTTCCTAAGTGGCTGCTGGTGGCCTTTAATGTTTGTAAAAATGTCCAGATCCCTTCCCGTCCAGAGTCTTTGCATGCTGCTCACACCTTTCCAGACCTCTGGGACAAACAGGACAACCTAGGTTCAGAGCTGCATCTTGCGACAAGTACCAGGCTTTCTCTTAGGGGTGTGTAGGTGTGTAGGGTGGGGGTGTGTGTGTGTGTGTGTGTGTGTGTGTGTGTGTGTGTGTGTGTGTGTTAGGGAAGTCAGCTCCCGTCTGTACTTCAGCCCTTATACTCAGGCTGACTTTACTAAGAGAAATGTTCATTCCATGCTCCTCTGATATCATCCCACTTACTGCCCACCGTGCCCAAAAGCTTCTAGGAACACTGGTTAAAGTTTATCTGTTGGGCCATCCCACTTGCAATCTGTTTCAGCCAGATTGCTGCCAAGGAAGCTGCATTTTTCCTGAGTTTTCGGTGGATCCAAGGAGAGTAGGGAGTGGAGGTGGCTGGGCGGGTCCCCTATCCTCTCCCAGGACCTTGTAGCAGGTGAACGTCCACCCCAGTCAGGACCACCTCTCCCCAAACCCCAAGTCATGGTGAGTTTCCAAGGGTTTGCTCTGTGCAGTACTCTAAGATCCAGGAGATGGCAAGCAGCATCTTCACTTAGCTTTGCCTGCTTTTTTTGGTGACTTAATGCAAGTTTGCTTTCATCCCTTGAGCTGATGCTGTGTGGTGTCCAGAACCTCCAGCCTTTCACGGTTTCTCCGTTAGTTCCAAGTCCTGCGGCTGGGAGCTGTTCCTTGGCTGATGTAACCGGCTCGGCTGTGTGAGGAGTCAGCTGGCTCCTCCTCCTGGTTTCTGCTCATTTTGGATGCTGGGCATTGGGGGTATGTTTTGTCTTGAGTCACTGAGGCACAGCTCATCATTGCTGAGGCTATGAAAAACAGCTAACCCTGGGCAAAGAGATCACCCCTCTGTGTTTCCACTTCTCCCTCTGGAAAATGTGATGACTGTCCATGGCTTCAGGAAGAATTCCGTGGTTCATTTAAAGCAACAGCAACAACAATCCAGGGTATCTGCGTTGTGGGGAAATGATGAGGACTGTTCTTGCCAAAGGGCAGGTGGGGGTGGGGGCACAGACCGTTGAGATGGCAGCCTTTGTTCTCTGGAAGCTTGGATATTTGGATTTTGTGGGGGAAGTTTTCATTTTACGGAGAACAAGCGCATTCCCATCTACTGGTTCATTCCCCAAATGCTTGGAGTGTCCAGGACTGTACTGGGCTGGGCTGGGTGGAACCTGGCAGCTCAATCCAGGACTCCCACATGGTAGCAGGGAGCCAGTTCTTTGCTCCATCATCAGTGCCTCCCAGGGTCAGACACAGGCACTCTGCTAGGAAGGAGATACCAGCATCTTCACTGCCAGGTCAGATGCCCACCTCTGGCAAGTAACTTTTAGGTAGATGCTAAAAAACTGACATTGAGAGCACCTTTGGCTTATTTCTTTCAGGATATTTCATTTCTTGCATCAAAGGAAGGCAATTATGTGTTTAAAGGATTTCTTTCTTTCTTTCTTTTTTTTTTTAAGAGATCTGTGGCCCTGGGAGAGAGGGATGTTAAGCACCAGCTCCTGCTGGTGATACTCTATAGGAAACCTCAATAGTATTCTTTTATCTCTAAAAGAGGGTCAAAACCCAGTGGGGCAGAGGCTGGGGTGGCAGGAGATGGCCTCATTACTGCCAGCCCCAGCTGGGACTTCTTGCTTCCCAACCATGCTTTTAAATACAAGCCTCTCACCCTACCCCCGGCCCAGCTTCTGCTTCTGTAGTGAATGAGGATCTAGCCTCACAGCTTAATTTGCAGGACACAATGGTTTGGCCTGTACACCTGCATGGGACGGCTAAGGAAGGCTTTGTCATGGCTTGTTGTAGGTAGGTAGTGTTTCACAATGCTTCCAACAGCCAACCTCAGTGCGGGAGCTCATGTTTAAAGTGTAGCAGGTAGGACAATCCTGTTGTACGACTGAGAAAACCTAAAAGGGAAAAGATGAAGTTATTTACTCAAGGTCATGAAGTGGCTTGTGAAAATAAGGATCGGAAGAACTGTGGGTCTCCTACCTCATGGTTCAGGGCTAGATTTTTCCTAGTCTGTCTCCCCCTCTGAGTCAACACTGTCATGGGATGGTGTCATATTCCTGGCCCAGTGTGGCTGTTAGAAACATTTGCTCTGGGTCAAGAGAAGAGCTGAGTGAGTGTAAGACCAGGGTCAGGGCAGATGCCCACTTTCTCGAGCTAGGGCTGGAGGCTGAGGAAAGTGTACACACACCTGCCAGGTTAGGTTTTATGCTGAGTGGATTGTGAGCACAAACAGACCTGAATCACTGGCAAGGTTCCCTGGGTCTCTCTTGGGGGTAACTTGTTTAAAGTGCTTCCTCTCAGATGCCAATTTCATGCGACAGCAAGTATGTACTTTGGCAAAGTATGTCCTTTATGCCTGTGGACAGATATATGAAATGAAACTGTGGCAGTAAATACCTCAGTTATCCCACAGGCCTTTGACTGGTAACTTCCCAGCACTCAGATACCTGAAAGAGTGGGAAAAGTTTCTAATGAGTCAGCATGGTTGCTACCAAGGCCATGTGCTGGAGACCATGCCCTTTGTGAGTGGCAGAATGCCCCAGAACTGCTACTGGGTGCCAACCAGGATTTCCCATTAAAAAAAGAATTTGTTTTTACTTGATCTGAAAGCCAGAGTCAGATATAAAGAGACCTTCTATATATACCCATTATTTTACTTCCCAAATGCCTTCTACTTGTTTTGACTCTTCAGAAAGCATGTGTAAAGTGTGTGCTATGGAAAAACTGTCCATGGTTTTCAAAATCTTTTTTAACCAAAACCCTTTTAGTTCCTTTTTTAAAAAGTTTTATTTATTTTTATTGGAAAGGCAGATATACAGAGAGGAGGAGAGACAGAGAGGAAGATATTCCTCTGATGGTTCAGTCCCTAAGAGGCCGCAACAGCTGCAACTGAGCCAAACCAAAGCCAGGAGCCAGGGACCTCTTCCAGTCTCCCACGCAGGTGTAGGGTCCCAAGGCTTTGGGCCGTCCTCGACTGCTTTCCCAGCCATAAGAAGGGAGCTACATGGGAAGCGGGGTCGCCAGGATTAGAACTGGTGCCCATATGGGACCCCAGTGCATGCAATGCAAGGACCTTAACCATTATGCTATCGCGCCAGGTCCTAGTTCCTTTTTTCATAAAATTTTTGAAATCCTCTCATAGACTTGATATTGTGGCACTTTGGAAGATTGATATAAGTCATCAAAATGGGACAGAAATCCTCAATGCTGCTGTAGTTCCTGATTGTCTTACATGTTTATGGCCTCCAAAGCTGACTTGAGTTACTATCATCCATAAATTGGAGAGACTGAGACAGGTGGCATAAAGCAATTCTCAGTCTGTAGTTTTCTGATTGACAACCAGCAGAGATAGGTATGGACAGGCCCTGGACCCAGGGTTCATGTTTGCACCTGGCCACTGTCAATGCAGTAGCATGGCAAAGTATTGCTATGTCCATGTCTGTCACCTGGTTTTCTAGACTTTTTCTCCCCGTGCTCATTTATTGTGGCCTAATGAACCTTGTTTCACAAGGATTGATGTGAATCTATATGATGCCTCTTAACTACAAAGGGCCCACTCCTTTTGTAGGCATAAAGAAACCTCTCAGAAACTGGTATCTAACATGAGCTCAGGATTAAAGTAGAGAGAGTGAATTGTAAATGGCCTGAAATATTGAGCATGGCATACCCTGCTGTGCACATCAACTCTCTTCTATAGGCAAGGTAAAGACTGTCAGCACACAGAACAAGGATCCAAATGTAACAAATGAAATTTCTTAGCTTATTAGTAACTAAGGGAAATAAAGAACAGTTTGCTTGCAATATTTTAAAAAAGCAGATCTAACTCCTGACCATTCCTTCTATTACCAGGAAAATACATGAATAGTTTAGAGGCTGCCGAGAGCATAAGGTTGGCTGGTAGTGGTCGACAGTAGATATTAACAAGCTTCCTAGGCATCACTTACTAACTCTGTGTGGACAAGGGATTTAGCTTCTCTGAGCTTCAGTTTCCTTATAGGCAAGATGGGGATGATAATAATAATAAATATGTACTGCCTGGAATTGTCTTGACAACTGAATGGTTCTTGTGTGAGTGCCCTGCTGGTATTCTCACAGACGGCTCAAGAGTGACCCCATATAAAGTCTCAGTGTCATTCTTGCCTTAACTCCCTAGAATTCTCCCCAGGGGTCCAGTCCTAGCCTTTCTGCCTGAATGTAAAACTGGATGTGCACCTCCAAAAGGTTTTTGACAGAGTGGGGGGCCCACTCCCCAACCCTTCCTCAGCTTCCCTCCTGGTGGAGGTACTGGGATCTAAAGGGGCACATAACTTCAGCAGCAAATACCAGGGACAATAAATATTCATCCCAGAATACATACTATGCCATATCCTGTCCTAAAGAATACTTGATAGTCTCATAGATTCAGGTCAAGAATTTTTTAAATAAAAGAAAATGCCTTTGGAACAAAAAATACACCTAAGTTCTACGTTTTTTTTTTATATATATAAAACTGGAACATACACACATCCTTGATAATAAGATCAGAAGAACAGTGGTACCAGATATATGAAGATGGCCATTTTTGAAGTTTCCTGGGCCAAGCTGCCTGTGTGTACCAGCCCCTCCAACAGTATATGAACAGTGGCCAGTTCAGCCACAGCTCACACCAGCTTTTCTGGTTTTGTGCTGTAAGTAATATAGCCAGAGATTCCTGCGGCACTGGAAAGGTTTGTCCATTTATCCCCTTCTAGTGTGATCTGAGTTGGGTCTCTGGATTTAGTGGTATGACCCTGGCATTTT